GATCAGCTGGTTTTGGTTGTCAGCAGCAAACTGGTTGATCCACTCTGAGAAGGTGCTATTTAAGAGACTGAACTGAATACAGCACCTCAGACTGAGGAAGTCTTTTGGTTGAGAGATGAAACGTTTCTATATTTTTTTGTTTTGTTTTTTGAATGTCTAGAGGACCAGATTTAACTTTTTTAGATTTTTGTACGTGGATTATTGAGCATGCATCAGGATATTACCAGCTAATATTCTATTCAACTCAATTCAGTTTATTTCTATAGCACCAAATCACAACAAAGTTGTCTCAGGGACTTTACAGGAACATTCACATAAAAGCCAATTAGTAAAGTTCTGTATCTAAGGAATCCAGCAGACAAGTTGAATCTTGGCTTTGTTGCAGTCTCCTATCCTGAGCAAGCACAGTGGAGACAGTGGAAAGAAAAACTCCCTTTAACAGGAAGAAACCTCCAGCAGAACCAGGATCAGGACAAGAGACCATCTGCTTTGACCGGCTGGTTTGAGAGGACAGGAAGGAGAGACAGACGAACACAGAATGGTAGGTCCAGATATAGGTCCAGGTCCAGGTATAGGTCCAGGTGTACCTGAAAGACAAAACCTTGTTAACCATCCTGTTATGTTACGGGTCAAATTGACCCGTTTTAAAGTTTTAAGATCTAGGAAAAATAGTTAAAAGTATTTTTTCAGTATGAAACTTCTTCTGCTTGCCTTATTTAAACCGAATAAACTGAATATTTAGGCCCTATTTACACGGACACGATGGGGGGAAACATAGGTTTTTTCATATGTTAATTAGAGGAAAAGATCCGCATTGACACGGACGCATTTTGTGTTTACATGCATCCGGAGGCATCCCCCCCCCCCCCCCCCCCCCCCCCCCCAATCTGCTGTAGTTACCATGCCGGGTCATTAGTTGGCGCTGTGAATTTTGTACCTTCACCTAATGTGCATGCGTACTGCCTCGGCACGCTGTTTTCCTCTGGGTTAAAAGCTCAGCTAACAACAACTTAACAACAAGTTAAAGCTGGATTTTAGATAAGAGTCGACAGATTTGATGCCAAGCAGGACCGCTTCGTCTAATAGCTCCACACCGGTCGCTGATTGGACCAGAACCGAGTCGACGATGTCGGACTTTACTCTGTGATAATCAGTAGCTGTTTTACAGCAGGTAAATCAATGTTCTTAATAATGTTAGTTTGTGTTTACTTCAATCACACAACAACCAACTGGGTTTTTATTTTTCCTGCGAGGAGAAGCTGTCCTCCCACCAGGCAGACCGATTCTGGACAAGGCTCGGCCCAGGTACACTGCAGGAGGACGTTGGAGAAAGAGATGTTGGATGAACTATTTATTTAAAATTCCCCTCAGTTGCTTTATTCGATCCATTCAATGTTTTAAGCTGCATTAACCAAAGGAGTGACAGCCTGAACCAGATGAACAACGTAGGACATCCAGGATGAAAACAAGAGTCCAGTTCATTGATGTAGTTTACAGTTAACGTGTTTTAATAGTGTGTTCAGTTTAATTATCAGTGTTTGTGTGACATACAGTTTGTGGTGTTGAATAAATAAATAAAAATTAAACATGATGTCTTAATTTTCAACTTTAGTGTTCACGCTGTGTGTTTAGCATCATTTTAAATTTGAATTACATAATGTCCAGATAGCTTCATTATATCTCACACTAACATAAATACTGTTTATTATTATTAAACTTGTTATTTAGCACATTTATGTTATAGTGCAGCACGACGTGTGCGTGTTCCACGTTCTATAAACAGCGACATTAGAACTGGATCAGATTGTGTCTCTTCCAACACAGATGTTGGTCACAGCACCTGGAATCTGATGTAGATTAACTATGAGATTAAAAATATATTCCATCAGTCGTAGTTCAGAAAGACGTGTGTCCGCCGCCATGTTGATAGAAATGTGCCATCTGTCCAACCGCGCGTGCGTGTGCGCATGTGGTTTAACACAAAGCCTCAGCGGGAGATGTTTACATTATCAGCGGGGGGTCAGTGAAAAACCTCCACTCTGGAAGGTGGGTTCAGAAAACTCTGGATTCAAAGAGGGGGGGCCACTGGTGTCGTGTAGATGATCAGCAGAACCGCAGAGAGAAAGCTGCGGATGCACTCAAAATATGTGCCGTGTAAACGGCCCTGAGGAACAGCTTCTACCCTAAGGCTGGGCCTCCTCTCGGTGGGACGTGTCCGGAACACCTCACCAGGGAGGCGTCCAGGAGGCATCCTAAACAGATGCCCAAGCCACCTCCACTGGCTCCTCTCGACGTGGAGAAGCAGCGGCTCTATCCTGAGTCCCTCCCGGATGATTGAGCTTCTCACCCTATCTCTAAGGGAGAGCCCAGACACCCTGTGGAGAAAACTCATTTCGGCCACTTGTATCCAAGATCTTGTTCTTTCGGTCACAACACTAAGCTCATGAGCATAGATGAGGGTAGGAATGTAGATTGATCGGTAAATTGAGAGCTTCGCCTTTTGACTCAGCTCTCTCTTCACCACGACAGACCTGTACAGCACCTGCTTCACTGCAGACGCTGCACTTATCTGCCTATCCATCTCACGTTCCATTTTTCCCTCATTCGTGAACAAGACCCCAAGATACTTGAACTCCTCCACTTGGGATAGGACCTCCTCCCTGACCCGGAGAGGGTACTCTACCCTTTTCCAGCTCAAGACCATAGCCTCGGATTGGAGGAACTAATCCTCATCTCGGCCGCGTCACACTCGGCTGCGAACCGCTCCAGCGAAAGCTGTAGATCACGATCTGATGAAGCCAACAGGACCACATCATCTGCAAAAAGCAGAGACGCAATCCTAAGACCACCAAAATGGATCCCCTCAACACCTTGGCTGCGCTTAGAAATTCTGTCCATAAAAGTTATGAGCAGAATCAGTGACAAAGGGCATCCTTGGCGGAGTCCAACTCTTACCGGGAACAAGCCCGACTTACTGCCGGCAATGCGGACCAGGCTCTGACACCAGTCATACAGGGACCTAACAGCCCATATCAAAGGGCCCGGTACCCCATACTCCCAGAGTACCCCCCACAGGGTTCCCTGAGGGACGCGGTCGAACGCCTTCTCCAAGTCCACAAAGCACATGTATACAGGTTGGGCAAACTCCCACGCACCCTCCAGGACCTTGCTGAGAGTGTAGAGCTGGTCCAGTGTTCCACGGCCAGGACGAAAACCGCACTGCTCCTCCTGAATCCGAGGTTTGACT